ACCCTTAGCAGGATGCAGCGCACCCTTCATGCGACTCGCCGAATATCTCACGGCGCTTCGCGCTTGGTGATGTGAGAGCCTAGTCCGGTGAGAACCCGGCGTGCTCCGTCCCGGCTTTGTAGGGATGCGAGGTCAATGGTCTAACGACTACGGCATGCACGACTATGAGTACCCCCCCCCCCCCACCCCCCCCTCTCTCTCTCTGGAGGACGCGTGGCCAATGATCTAACAGCTAAGGGATACAAAACATGAGTACGCGCCCGCCCTCCCGCGTAGAATATGATGCAAAGAATGGTACGAGCGCGAAGAAGGCCGGGGCATTTGGCATTTGAGTGTAAACGGTGCTCGTTATCGAAAGGGATGCCTCGTCGTCGCCGACGATGATCACACGACCAGACAAGATCCGAATCCCCCCCCCCCTGCGGCAACAATGCTCCGTCCTCTCGAGGACGCGTGCCCAGTGGTTTAACCGCTAAAGAAAGCGAAACATGAGAGTACACACACACACACACACACAGGGAAGAACTGCCCAGAGATTCTTGTCAAAATGAGGATCAGAATGATGGTAAAAGTACTCCTAAACGAACTAGAGTACAAGGTACTAGCCTTGGTAGACGCGTCCACTTTTCTTCTGTTGTCACCGTTTCTGTCTTTGATCCGAAGGATAGTGTAGCCTCCCCCATGCTGCGCCCCCTCACGGGGTCCCAGTTCATCGCAGATAGAAGTGTTTTGTGTTTTCAACCGCACTAAGACTGACGGCTTTTCATTGGTCGGCCGGTTAGCGCGGTCGATGCTAATGATAAAGACACACACACACACACACTTCCTTGCTGGACCCCTTCTCTTTCAGGCTCCTCGGCGAGGTGAGCAGCAGGGAGCCGTGGCCTTGTCGGCGTTGGCGGAGTTCTGCCTGTCGGAAGCGCGTCCGAGGTGCGCGAGGCTGCTGACCGATGTGGAGGCGGCGGCGGCGGGAGAGATGCCGCTGCTACAGTTCGGTACCGACGCGCAGGGTGAGTGGGCGAGGAGCCCCGGCAGGGGGGGCCGGCTGCAAGCGTTGTCGTTCCGCTCCTCCCTGTTTTTGCACGCCTCCTCAGATCGAAATCTCCTTGGAATCACCGCTGTTTTGCGCCCGAGGTGTTCTATCTCTCGGACCACCTCTGTTTGTTTTGTTGGTCCTGATGTTTTGCTCACATTGAAACTCGTGATGCTTTTGTGTTATGTCGATCCACTCCTGATCTTCTGTCTGACGCTAAGTCCCTGCGTTGATCGTGATGTATTGTTTTGATTGAGCCACCTTTCTTTGGTGGGTCGTGGTGTTTGGCTTTGTCCCGCGCTGTGTTGCGTTATGCAGGGATCGTAGACGAGGCTGTGCAGTCATTCCTGGCCAAGTCTTCCAGATCACAGGTGAACTAAACCGTGGCGCGGTAAAAGCTTTACTTGGCTTTGCAGAAATTGCGCGCGTGTCCCAAAAACTGTTCCTCTGCGCGTTCTCGTTGTTGAGGGTTTGATTCCAATACCGCAGCACATTAGCAGGGTTGGTTCCCAGTTGTATTGAACATCGGGGCCACCTTTGGAGGGATAAAACGGTGTAGTCGCTTTTCGCATTCGCTGCCGGTAGAGGCAAACATGAGTGATGTGCCCAGAGGACGTGGAGGCCTTCATGCGGCTGGCGCTGCTGCTGCTCTCCTTTGTTTTCTACATGGATTGTATATATATTTCTCTTGGTATGTTTTGTTTCTTTACTGTAGGCATCTCGTCCTGTCCATAAGTCGAATCGAGTCGAATTTAATCCCCCGTTCGCGGCAGCCGCAGATCGATGCCCCCGCAGCGGTGCTCCGTGAGAAACGCGGATCGTTGGTGTCGGCGGTGGCGAGAGAGCTGGAGCCGGCCTTCAGGGCGCACGCGAGACATTTACGGTGAGGCCCCTTCAATCGCGACAGCATGTGTTGAGAAGGGGGAGGGGCAGAGTTGTGCCAATTGGTAGGTTTTCGTGAAAAGGATGCCGTCGAGTTCCGTACGCAATTGTAGGACGTACAGGCGTATCTGAAGCGACGGGATTAGCACCGAAAGTCAACTTCTCGGGAATTTCGGACAGGTGTAGTGTTGGGGGTGACAAAACACTTGTCGGTAGACGATAGAGTAAAGAGGTAAAGAGTGTGGCACTACTCAGACAATGACATAGCATCCTGTCCTTTGCCGTCCTGGTTCCTTATGAAACGAGTGCAGCCGGCACGAAAAATACGATATCAGCAACAACGACACTTGGTGCTTATGAAAGCAATGCAACCAAACACGAAAAATAACAACGCTTGCTATTAATCCTTCAGAGGCCACTTTCACGAGCAGTTCGAGGAGATGTTTTCCTGCGTGCTGGGGGGAGCGGCGGACTTCGACCAATCGTCTCGACGGATGTCCAAGACCATCAGACAAAATTTCCTCGAGGCCACAAAGGTATTGGGACAGATGAGAGAAGTGTTGATAGGAGCAAAAGAGAGCATTCCCATCTTCTTTTTCTGCCGGCGTTGATGATGATATTTCCTTCGCTTGGCCATGCTTTTACTGTTTGTCAGTTGCCCAGCCCCATGATGGCCACGAGGTAGGTAGAAAGGCTTCTCTACATACCCCTCTCGTTTCGGCTCGCTAGCTTGTCGGAGAGACGCGGGGGTAGAGACGAAAGTAGACACTTGCTGTTGTCTTTCGTGCTTAGAAGGGCTTCGTACATACCGCTTGCTCCCTCTCCGGCAGTCTGTTTTTCTCCCGTCGTTGCTGCAGATTCTGTGCCAGTGTCGAGTAGTCGGCGGCATAGTCTCCTGTCCCTTTCTCTGTTTTTGTCCCGCGCTTCTGTAATGGGGATTGTTTTGCCGCCGCAATTTGTCCGACCTCTCTCCCGTGCCTATTGTTTCCGCTGGTTTTGGTATCATCACCAATGTTGTGTCATGCAGCTAGCGATTCCGAACACACCCGGGGTGGCTGACGTGTGGCGTTTGCACTGGGAGGCGGAGCTGGTCAAGCTTAACGAGGACATGGAGGTGAGACTGAGCGACAGGACATACGCGCTTGGACCCGACGGAAGGGTTGTTGAAATCCTTGTCGCTAGTGGATTTGTAATAAAGCTATTTCACGCCCTCTGCTGCGTTGCTAGTGTGCCTCTCGACGCATTGTTAGCAAAAGCCTGTATTTTCGCTACGGGGTCCTTCTCTGCCTGGGAGGGATTATTTTAGGCCACGTGTCCTCAACAGATACGTGGTTACTTGCTCGCGAGCGCCTTTGTCTTTGATCCTAGAGGATTCTCCTGCTGTTGCAATACGTTGTACTCGATACTGTTGATGAAAAAGGACGTTCCGTCCTTGTCTTGCAACAAGCTCTCGCAAAGCCCCTTGCGTACAGGCCGCATCAACCAGGCACAGCACATTATATCGTGACAGCTGTAAGTGGCCTACAGACTCCCCCCGCGTGCAGTGCAGCCTTCTGACGCCTTGTGTGTCGTGTGGCACAGCAACCAAGCGTTCCTTGTGGCCCAATCCTGACAGGAGCCTCGCTGTCCAAGAGAGGTAACGGCACATGCAAGTTCGTGGGTAGGTGCATGATTTTCACGCGTTTCTCGCCTGCGTTTCCCCCCGCCCCCCTCGCCCCCCCCCCCGCTTCCGCGTGGCCGGGCGGCCCGGCGGCCCCCCGTGCCTCTCTCATGTAATGTAATGTAATGTAGAGCCGTGTGCAAGATCGTCTGTCGGAGGGCACGTGGATGTTGCCGCCGGACCCGGCCGAGCAGGCAGCGGCGGCGAGGAAGAAGACGCCGTGGTGGAAAGGGTGAGGGGGGGCGTACTCTTGTGTTTTGCATGCCTTAGCGGTTAGGCCATTGACCACGCTCCCTCGAGAGGACGGAGCATTGTTCCCACAGGACCGATCACCGATGGCCAATCGTTCCATTCTACTTTGCCAAAGGTGGAAAGGGTGAGGGAGGAGAAAAAAAAAGGGGGCGTCTTTTGTCTACTAGTCTACGCAGCAAAATTGATTGGGAAAACATATGGGATATAGTATTCAATCCGTGCTTTAGGGTTAGGGTTAGGGTAAGGGATAGGTTGTGCGTGCCCCCCTGCCTATTCTTTCTCTAGGTACTCATAAAATCCTGCGTAGGCGGTCCCGTTTGTCTCGAGTCCGACCATCAGAGCGATCGATTCACACCCTCACGACCGTCTGCACACCTGCTGGCGAGCGAATGGATTTCATTGGCCAAGGATTGGAAACAGGAGGAGGAGGAGTTGCAACACTAAGGAAGATGCCGTTTGTGTGTGTGTGACGCGTGAGGGGTTTGCGCTCTCCGTGGAAACTGGCACACAGTACCCCACACAGAGGAACCCGTTTCCGGGTTGTTTGACTGTCCTACATGTATCGTCCGACGAACCACGCACCGCACGTAAAGCCCAATCGTCTTCAGCATCAATATACACCAATCCCGCAACGGCGTTCCATGGCTTCGCCGAAAATTTATCTCCGAGCACGGAGTATTGCTTTCGAGTGATCACGCTTTTTGTGTAAGCACAAAAGCAAGTGCATACGTACGTACACGACGGCGAATGAACCCATAGGGCCCCTTTCTCACCTATGTTCAATTTTTTCTTGCTCGAGGAATATAGTATGCGAAGCCATGGCCCTGCCTACACCGCCCATGTACAGGTGCAGGGTAGTGCACGGCGGCAGTTCAATGTGCGTGGACACCTAGCCCTAACTCCCATGGTCTTGGTGGTTGCAAGACGTCCATGCTCTATCCCTTGTTGCAGGCACTCGCTGGCGGGTCTCTAGGCCGGTTGTAGCGATGAACTCCAAAGCAATTGAATAGTCCCTAACCGCAGCACGCTCACGGCTGCTCCATTCAAAAGAAAACGTGCTCCAAAACAGTATGCTACAGACGATTACGCGCCCGAGGCCGAGGTCTATGGTCTAACGACTACGGCATGCGTTTACATGAATACCCCCCCCCCCCCCCCCCCCCCCCCCCCCCCCCCCCCCCCCCCCCCCCCCCCCCCCC